ATATTCTCATAAAGTGATAGATTAAGTCACAATGGACTTACACACTCGTGTGATTTAAGCATTTGTAGCTTTTACATGATATTACACAACGGAAGTTGTTAGTATGTTTTAGAATAAACACATCTGAGTTCGCTGGATTTTATAAAAGTTTTAATTACAATTTTTGTTCTTAAAAATTTAAGATCAAATGTAGATATAAAGAGTTAAAAAAAAATTTCACGGTGGTTCACTAAATAAAGAAATAATCTAAGTAAAATTGTGTTGCATTAATCTTCTTAAAAGAAAAAACCATTAATTGCAACTTAATAAAAAATCAACGTCTAAAATGTTGTTTACCTTTGTTTAACGTGAACGTCCTCTCTTATGTTGAACAAATATAATAAAGGAGAAATCAGTTGGTATGTCCGTTATCGATACAAACAATGCATTGTTCTTAACTGATTATAATTTCAAGATTTTATAACTTCTTAATATGGTAAATTTTATCAATTGAATGACGTCAAAAAATTGTTCAGCAAAAATAAACGGTATTACCTTGAATAAAAATAGATATTTCTATTCATTTTTGAAGATGGATAGGATAGTTATGGTTTAATAATTGGATCGACTTCAAAACTGCATTATAATCAAAAGAAAGTTAAATGATTTTGTATTCTTAAATTATGATTATAAAACATTGTCCCACATATTAGCATAATACGAATAGCCAAACCCTGACAAGGAATACGTGTTATAAATGAAGGAGATAGATTCTTAAAAATTCAAAATGCTTTTCGATGATTTATAACACCAATTTTCAATAAAACAATATCCGTACTCCATGCCAATACAGAAGTACTGCTCTACTGGGCTGATAATATCCTCGAGGACTAACAGTCGACCAGCAGAGGTATAGACCCAGTGGTAGTAATAGCATTAACGGTACCAATTTTACTCACTGTAAATAAAAAATAGATTTCCGATTTTTCTATGACCATAAGACAACATAACACGAGTTAGCGAGTAACGGCAGATCTGAATTTTAACCAGGTTGCAATTTTACTGTACCAGAGGCGCATTTCGACAATTAATATCTCTTTAGTTATATTTGGGCCACACTATTGGAAAATTCAACACCTAATACAAACTTTGAAGACCTGATAAAACTGAAAAGGACCAAAATGTAAAGTCAATACAGAATAAAGAATCGTTCCTTAATGTCACTTCAATATGCTTGAGGTCAAATTATTTGAAAATCAAATACCTTATACAAACTTAGAAGAACAGATATAAAAAAAGACCAAAAGTGTAGCAAAACATAGACAAGGAATGAGAGCTACGCACGAGAGAGATACGTTCCTTGGGTAATATAAAATGATTTTCTAAGAATCATAACAGAAATTTGAAATTAAACAATATCTGTTTTAGTATGCTAGCACAAAAGTAATGTGCTGCTAGGCTTGTTTTATCCTCAGGGACTAACAGTCCAACTGCTAAGCTTAAAGGTGTCGACCAAGTATAAGTATCAACATTAATGGTACCGATCAAGTTTACTGCACCAGATGCTTTTCTCGACAATAAATGTGTCTTCAGTGATAATGGCTAAACTGTTTGAATATCCAAAACATAATACAAACTTCGAAGAGCTGACATAACCAAAACCAACTAAAAAGTATAATCAAAGCAAGACAAGGAATCAGTGTTATGTGTGCATGAAGGAGATACATTCCTGCGTTTAATTTGTTTCGAGGATTTATAAGATTAAACTTCAATAAAACAATATCCGTATTGTCATGCCAGTACAAAATTATTGAATAAATAGGCTGGTGATACCCAAGGGATCAACGGTCTACCAGCAGAAGTATCGACCCAGTGGTCGAAATAACATTAACGGTATCAATTTTACTTCACCAGATGCGCATTTCAACAATAAAAGTACCTTCAGTGATGTTAGAGGACAAAATACTTGATAATCCAAAATTAATACAAACATTGAAGAGCTGTTATAACCGAAAAAGACCAAAAAGTATAGTCAAATCCGGATAAGGAATCAGAGCTATTCATGAAAAATATACTGTCCTTACTTTTGAAATAATTTTAAGCTTGCCTTGTAAAAAGATTTAAAAATTGATCAAAAATGTCTATTATAAGAGTGCACAGTAGTGACATAATTATTCTAATGCATCATACCTTGTTGAATTTGTATTTGTCAAATAGTTTTATTTTTTTACTAAAAAAATACATTTACTACTGAAGTTCTTCATAGATTTTTAGTGCAAATATTGACCCTGCGTTAACCTAATCCTTATGGTAAGGTATCTATTATGTTCTTAATTGAAAATGGTAAATTTAAAAAAAAAAATGTACATCGAATCATTGGTCCTTGTCACTTAAAAACACTCAATCACAGAATTGGATTCATCATCTTTGGAAGATGGTCCTTCTAGGAATACGTAGGAAAGGGGAAGGTCATGTTCAAGATTGCACTCACTCACCGCCATGTCTAAGGATTTCAATGTGGCTATTCTTAAAACTCCAAAATCAAAGCGGAATGTTTGATTTAAAAAAATGTATTACGTGAATCTAATGCAATGAAGGTGTTTGATTTATTTCAAAGTCAATATTGTAAAATTCTTTGAATGTTAGTAGTTGTTTCATGTTTAAGAACCCTTTTCTTTTTACAGAATGTGATCACAAGATGCTATAAAACAATTCAAGAATTAAGAGTTTTGTTTGATCTCTTTTAGCATTTATCTGAAATGGAAGAAATCAATTACTATTAAATTAATGTTTGCCAGGCAGGAAAAATGCATATCAATAGGTTACAAATGAAAAATTGATGCAAATCTCCGAGTGTACATGAAGAGGGGTTTTCAATAGACACGTGCCGTGCGCACTTAAATCTCGAGAATGAAATAGTTATCACAAGTTTAAATTTCAATTTTCCTTTTCTTGAACAGAAAAATGATCGAAAATCGATAAAAAAAAACTTTCAAAAGTTATCTACTGCAATTGAAGATGAGAGATGAATAACACACGAGAATTGCACTAACTGTCCAAGGTTAAAAAAAATAGTTTCCAGGACCATTCAGCCTTTTCAGATGCTGTACAACTATGATATAAATCCCTTTAAACAAAACAAATGAGCAAATGTATGTCACATGCAGTTTTTTTACTAGCAAATCTAAATCAATGTTGCTTATGAACATATGGAATTTTGTCAAGAAACCTTGTAATAAGTGGGGAGTTTACGTCATATGAGTGTGTAACACGGACGCTTAGAAGACGGATATGAGAGATTTCAACACTTATTTCTGAAAATGCACCAATAGAATTAGTTGATGAAATTGATTTTTAATCAAAATTACGTAACAATTGCATTATTAGATTTATTCGGATACGAGTCTTTTTTTAACATTTTTGTGCACTAATTGTATTGGTTTTTTTAATAATTAAATATCACACTTCATAGCTGGCAAGCTTCCTAAACGCAATACTGGGATATAAAAACTAGAATCATGTCTAGTGCAAGGAGAAGAACATTATGCAATTCATGATTATTCAATCGTTGATTATGCAATTCATGATTATTCAGCAATCGTCTAGCCCTTTTAACAGAAATAGATTATAGGAGTGCTAATAAAAAGACAACAGAACAAAATCCTTAGTCAATCTACTCGGAAAAATATAATGTTCAATGACAATCTTCTCACTGTCATCATAGGGGACAATTTCAAAGCAATTTCACACAAGTCACCTTTCAATTTGACATAATTGGCATAAAAGATCAGTTTGAGCATATTTTTTTTTTTCGCACCCAAATTTATCTATTGAAAATTGTAAAGGCGATGTACTCGAAAACTATTTTCCATCGGCAATAGTTTTCGAACTTAATCCAGAGTTATTTTATATAAACTTTCTTTTATCGAAGGTGATAGATATCGCTTACAGGGATTTTGTAAAAACAATATTTCCAAGGATCATAACTCTTACAAAAAAAATATCAATCAGCACTCTCTTTTATTATTCGATCGAAATATTGTTCATATAATTTTTTTTCAAAATACTTCAAGAACAGAAAGGATGAGAGCGCATATGGCATTTTTTTTACATGATTACATTTCCAAGGGGCATAACCACAAATCAAAATTTTCGATTTCCCTGGTTTTGAAACGGATCAAGATATTTGTGATATAAATCTCTCTTACACGTTATATCTATATACAATCCATCAAGAACTGAAAGGGGAAGAATGAAAGGATTAGATGGAGGGACACCATACATTTATATGCCCCGCTCTGCTTTGAAGGAGAGGTAAAAAGGAACACACAAAATTAGTAATCCTTTATTCTGATATATTCAACATTAAACATTAAAAATATAGTTAGTGTTTTAAAATTAGAGAGCAAATAATACCACCACGACACTCTTTCTCGGGACACAATGTTTTGAAATCCATAGAACAACACATCACCGATATATGAAACTGTAGATACGTCATCAGTCATCTTGGGGATACTCGATATGTATCGATTAATCAACTTGTGTTCGTAAGCGAAAAACTTCGACATTTATTGTACCCATCTAGTATTACATGTTGCCCTGAATGCAAACTTTCTGAAACACCAATATTAAGTTACAACATTGTCTTGTCTATTCAGTAGGTAATGCAGTGCATTCTGTATAATCTGTAAACACACGTAACTTGCATATGGTATCAAGTAATGTTGCAAGTTAGCTTATGGACATTGGGAACAAATTTTAAATGGTTGACTGAACTATTTTTTTTTTTCATTTAGTCATAAAAACACTGACCATAAATTTTTTTTTAAAGCTGCTCGTGTTTTCGTCTTTTAACTTTATTGGTGAGATGCGAAATGAGACCCGCAAAAATGAACAAACGCAAAAGAATTTAGAACTATACTAAATATTCATTCATTTGTTTCCAACCAATATATATAGTATTGCATTCCGTTACTAACGTTTGTTAAACAAAATATCCCATCAAAGTTGCCACTTACCTGCAAAATAATGATATAGAACAATTGTACAATAATCTCAGCACGAACTTCTCGAATTATTCTGCATTAAATCTTACTTCCCATCTGAAATGAAAATGTTTATTTAGTGGAATCAATCCTAAATTCAATCATTGATTATTCAAATATGACCTGGTTTAAGGAATCCTAAATTATTCAAATCTAATTGATAAATGTTCCGTTCCAGGCAAAATCATTTTATATATATAAACAAAAGGTATGGTGCCAATAATCCAACAATTATAGTTAAATAGCACTGCCGTGTTCAATGGCAATGATTACTGGTAATCGATTACTTCAACACGTAAATTTAAGTTTTTCTTGGATCAGATATTTTTGGATACGGATGAATACCTTTATGTAAAAATACTTATTGATGGAGCTGTTGTTCGCTGCTTGTAAATAGATTTTTATTCATTTTTATATTTAATTTTATATTGATTTATAGAATTTTCTTTGGTCACTTAACGTTCTTATTTTCATTGCCATTCGGTATTTTTTTCTATCTGTTTAACGAAAACTTCACATAAATATACTTTTTGATCATTCTACATTGTTAATTACTTTAGGTGTGCGAAACCATCATTTAAATGCTTGAAATCTATAGTTGACAAAACATAAAAATAAAAAAAAGCATGTTGCTAGTTAGCAACATCACACAACAAAGACAAAACAGATTATCGACGTGAGTAATTCAAGGACTGAAACTGGCGGTAAATTAAACTGAAATAAAAGATCAAGTTTAAAAGTATGAATATCTAATTGACTATTTGACATTAATCAAAATAAAATAAAATATCAATATATGAACATTGTTGTGTATTGTTTCAGATTATTTATTAGCTTTCAAAGAGTTTTAGAAAAACTGACTATTGTTATTAGTAACGAGAAAAGTAGATGATTCCGTTAACAAATACATAAACCAAAACCTAAACGTTATTCCCAAAAGAAATGCGGAGGTGTACACTGCAAAGATTTAAAATTTAGATTGGCAAAAAGGTTTTGTCTTTCAAAATTAAATAAAACTTTATGAATTTGGTGTGTCCGAAGCATCTTTTCTGTATTTACCTTCATCTAGAACGTTATAACCCCAAAAATGTAAAAGCCAATGATGTGCAAATATCTAGATACGTGAGGAGCGATGGTTAAAAGAGAAAGATGAACTCAACAAAAATATGTTTAAAATTATGTCAGTACCGAAGCACTGAGCTGATTATACCCCCGGCTACTTACAATCCACAAGCAGTGGTATCGACCCACTTGTCTTTATTGGTGATAAGTTTAACTCAATTACCAGAAGAGGTATAAAGTTTGACAATGAGTTTGTGTTAATTCGCCTGAAATTTTACGACCTTACTTTAAAGTTCATTCAAATGTGTAGTTGTATTATTATAAACATCATATACATATCACAAGTCCTATATATATATATATATATATATATATATATATACGGTATGGGTTTTGCTCATTGTTGAAGGCCATACTGTGACTAGAAATTATTTATATCCTTGTCTCTTGTCTTTTGTTGATAGTTGTCGTTGAAGGTTGAAACGATCGTTCCATTTCAACGAACATTATCATTGCTAAATAAAATTAGTAAAAACATGTTTGTTATTGCATGCAATTTAATTTCTGGACAAATATTTTTGTCTGCAAACAGTTTGACGCATATATTTACTTCATTTTTAGCAGTGATTTGAGCAATTTGTTACAATATTTGCTCTACTGTCGCAATATAGGTTCCTTTATGCTCTACTGATATTGTACCGACGAAGATTAAATTGGAGCTTACTTACATAAACACCTTCGGTGTTTGTGTTATTTATTATTATTATACCTTACATATATTTCAAACAATTCTATTGGGTAAAACGTTATCACGTGACATGGAATAATTCAGTTAATTTTCATTCAATTGCAAGGAAGAACGAATAACCCTAAAAATTTACACCAGCGTTGAATAACCCTATTATTCACCGGCGAATAACCTTTTTAGTTTGTTGATTTGTACTCATGAAAATGACGTCACAGACGTAAATAAACAAAATGGCAACGTTCAAGTTACAGGAAGCCCATTGATAGAAGAGGAAATAAGGCTTTTGACGTGCATCTTGTGCCGATGATATCTCTAATAACGGTCCTTTTCAGGGCCATCAATATTTTACAAAAAGAATCTACCTTTGTTGTACATACGAGAATTCTAAGACACAAATTACATGTATTTTTGAACGTCAACCTGTGTTTGTTACTGACTCAAGTAAGGGTAAGTGCTTTTACAATGATTCAAAATGCCCTTCCACTGTTAGTTCGGTATAATAAAACAATTGTGGCCCCTTAGAAGCGATGAATATCCAAAATTGTCAACCCTTAAAAGTTATTTCACTTCGGGCTGCACCCTCAGTGAAATAACCTTCTCGTGTTGACAATTTTGGATATTCACCTTTTCAACGGGCCATAATTGTATATTGTTTTTTTTTATTATTTGTGCATTTGTTTTTGTTATCTATCTTTATTACAGAATAAGTGTATTTCTGATAACGTTTTTATGTACACCCTTTGTTATTCTACTGATCACGATTAAAAATAGGGGTTATTGAGATTGAGATCTAAAAAAAATTCAAACCCGCTACATATTTATCAGAGTCTGAAACTTCGACGATCATTGCCTTTAGTTATTGTGTCTTAAATGTTAATATTCTCTTGTTCTTTAGGGAATTTGGTGTATATGGTTGTTTTAATAGTCACTGTTAAATTTATTCTACAATTTTCAATACTCTAGTCGATTAGAGCTTGATATATTGTGTATATAATATAAAATTGGAATGATTACCAATGAGACAATTAAATATCCACCAAATGATGTAGAAGGTTTTTGTTTTTGATTTAGGTGTCGTTGGTTTTTGTCTAAATGACCAACGTCTACTTTGTTTGTTCAAATATATACAATTTCGAAATTCCTATCATTTACTATGGGATTCATGTACCAGTGACATGGCAATTATGCACATGTTACGAATTGTAATCAAATGTAATAATGTTGAAAAAAAAAACATGTTCATATGTAACTAAAATACACATATTTTTATTAAAACCAAATAAGCCCCCAAAATGAAGATAACGCCCATTTTAAAAGACTATTCGGAATACAATTTTGGCAGATGTTCCATAAACCAATTCAGCTAGCTGGAAAATAAAAGTTTTCTAAACTGATATTGCTGAAAACTATTTTGTATCATGACATTTATTTGCGATTTGCAACTGTTTGAGCCTTCTATATTAATAAACACCTCTTCAGAACCCTTTATGAAAAAGAAAAATTCAGCCGAGAATGCCTATTTCAATAGCATTATACAAGAAACCGTTTCTATATTTTTTTGTCTCAATAATCCAAAGCCCTACAAAACCATGCTATCATCTAAACTAAGTGCAGTTCTAAAATCAATTATCCATAATATAAGAAGAAAAGATTTATCATAGTCCCATAAAAAACACTTCTCTGATGCCAAATATGGTTTGAGAATCTAAGATCACACATTAAGATTTATCAGGTCCCTATACTTATATGTCAAGAAGCATGGAAAAAACATATCAAGTTTATAACCTTCAATCAATATTTTACTATAAAAAGCGCTTCAGACGCACAAAATTAATAAAATGCTATCTTCATTCAGCTTAAAAAAATATCTAAAAATCGAGTATTACAAATTGTAAACATCAATCTTTACTGTTTGTTTAAAATGTATCAAGAAATAAAAGCGGAATAAATAAGATTTCACAACGCAACAGAAACCATTTTGCGAAATAAGCGGATACAAAAAAATAAAGAATCATTTCTATACGATTGACACATCATATTAGTCCAATAAAAGATTTTTTGTGATATCTATTTTTTTGTTATGTAATATAAGCACAATTTAAGCAAGTGACTGAAAAATTCTTTATCTTTTTTGGTGTGTCGACTTATAAGCTATTTTCAATTACTTCGAGTGAAGTGTTGTACTGATAGGTTGTTGGATGCCAGATATCTTAGAGGTACAAAGGGCAAATTCTTTATGGTTCAAATTTATCCTATTTTATCTTTCATTAATATTGTATTGCTATATATTGTAATTCGGAGCGGAATTCTTGAGTATGGTTTACTTGTGTCCAATCCATTACTTTGAGTAAATGAAATATGTTTAAAACAAACTAAACTATCTTTAAAAATCTTCACTACTTTAAATGCAGTGTTTCATTCGCAAATTTTAGTTTTCAATGGCCTTTATACTTATTATTTTACTTAGGTTTTTTTCAACATCATAGCATTGTCCTCAATTAAAGATTATATTAGTGTTTTTCGTACTTGGAGAATTACGTGTTGCTGGCAGACCTTTTATCGTTTACGTTTCATCTATTTATAACTTTTATAGACTTGGGACGAATTAGAGCTTGAAATATTGTACAAACATGTGTCTATTGTTGAAGACTACGTTGCCTTCTATATGTCTTGGTTATTGTGTCGTTAGATTACTGTCTAATTGGTGCATACCCCACACCATCTTTTATACATAAGATAAATACAGGACTGAAAACAATTCAAGACACAGAAGTTTCGACAGGATAATCATATCATCATTGGAAAACCACAGAGAGGGACCAATGTTTCAACAGGGGAATCATATCATCATTGAAATGCCTCAGAGTGAGACCAGACTTGTCGACAGGGGAATCATATCCTCATTGGTTGGAAAACCACGGAGAAGGACCGATGTTTCGACAGGGTGATCATCTCCTCATTGGAACACCATAGAGTAACATATAACGTGTAGATAAGGTAATCATCTCATCATTTAACACTAGTCACATAATCATCATCAGCTCAGTAGTCAGTACTGCGGTAAAAAGTGATTTATAAAATACTATTTTAAAATTCTCCGTGTATAAATTAAAACAATTTTAAGAAATTATGGTTTCAACTTCCTCGGGCAAAATTTCTTCAGGTAGTATCATATGTCCACTATTAATATCTATATTTGAGATAACATCGAGTACAAATGTTGACCAATTTGTGATATCCATAACTGCTGTAAAAGTAATGAAAATATTATGTTAATTTAAATCTAAAACGTAACTGCAAACACGTGCATATCGACGCAACTGAAAAATGTACACACTATAAGTAAGATAGGAAAATTAATAATAGACAATGA